ACCACCATGCCACTAGGGCTTTGAATATAAATTATAGAGACAAAGTTATTAAGTGTTAAACAGAATAAATACATACTATCTAGATGAGGGAGACCATCAGCACAAGGGCATAACGGTGTCTGAGGATTTACAGCAAATAGGACACTTGGGTGGGGCAAGGAGTACAATGGAAACTGTCACGAAAGCATTCCTGGCAGCAAATCAATATATCCCAGTTGCAGATATGGCATTGGAATCAAGAAAGGGACTACGATTGGGATAGAACATTATTCTAGATAGAAAAGCTTACAAGATTGGTTCAGAGTCCTCTGACCAAGGCAGTCATGGTATGATCCATGACGATACTGCCCAAGAACCTCAAATTCCATCAAGAGCACACCCAGGCAAGTCCCTAAGGGCTACACTTTCAGCACCCCTAGCTAAGATAGTGGTAGCAATCCCCTTTCAAACACATCCTGCCTGAGGACAAAGCTATTCATATTGTTGGCTAATGATCGGAAAGAATTCAATGGAAGCTGAATCTAAAGTGGCTAGTCAAAAATGGACTTAGGATTTTCATTATAAACCATAGCTTTCTGAAAATCTAGGGCTCAGAAATTTTTTATATATATATTCTTTTTTTTAAATCATTTTATTGGGGGTTTGTACTACTCTTATCACAATCCAAACGTCCATCCATTGTGTCAAGCACATTTGTACATTTGTTGCCATCATTGTTCTCAAAACATTTGCTTTCTGCTTGAACCCTTGGTATCAGGTCCTCATTTCCCCCCTCCCTCTCCGCTCCCCGCTCTCCCCTCCCTCATGAACCCTTGATAATTTATAAATTATTATTATTTTGTCATATTTTACACTGCCCGACATCTCCCTTCACCCCCTTTTCTGTTGTCCATCCCCCAGGGATGAGGTTATATGTAGATCCTTGTAATCGGTTCCCCCTTTCCACCCTATCCTCCCTCCACTAGGGCTCAGAATTTAAGCTCTAATAATTCCAAATAAGATGGGTTTAAACATGTTGCTATCAGTGGATGTCTACAGACTTGGTTTATAACAAACCTAAGTGGATTACGAAGAGAACTTGTTTGTAGTCATCCATTCAATAATATGCTATCTAATTAAAACCAGACACCAAATCCACTGGCATCGAATTTATTTCAACTCATAGTCTCAGTAAGGTGTATCTTTTTTAAGGCCATGGGGAAAACATATTTTGAGGTAAGAACTAATATCAAATTTCTAACAGAACTCAATTGGACATATTCTGAAATCATCAAAGCTTTGCAACCAGCTTATGGGAATTCTGCCCACATAAAACAATAGTTTTTAAAGGGATCAGCTGTTTGGGGAAGGTTGAGAAGACACCAAAGGTGAGCCCAAAGAGGAAAGACTGCCAACCTCACTGAATAAATGAACGGACTAGTCCAGAAACTGCTGAAGGAAGACTGTAGGATTACCATTGGTTTCACATGGTTCTACTTTATTATTTTTTATTTAAATCATTTTATTGGGGACTCGTACAACTCTTATTAAAATCCATCCATCCATCCATTGTGTCAAGCACATTTGTACATCTGTTGCCATCATCATTCTCAAAACATTTGCTTTTTACTTAAGCACTTGGTGTCAGCTCATCACATGGTTCTACTTTAAAATATATATATATATATACATATATGTATGTGTGTGTATATATATATATTTTTTAGTGACCATCTTGGCCTCAGCAAGTTTTCAGCTCAATGTGTACCAGAAGCACAGCATGAAGCCAGCTAGCTCAAAGAGGCGATCTTGTCATTCGTCTTTCATGCAGGAGAAGAGGGTTTTAAGGAACAAATCATGAACTGGACACGTCTTGAGTTTACCAAGACTAGCCAGAGAGCAAACTCCAATCAAAACAAGTGGCTTCTTAGGGGATCTGCTGGGCCAGTTTCATTCAAGACAGATAGATCCTCTCAGTAGGTTATGGTGACTGTTTGGGGAGACTCCAAAGGGGTAAACTTGATAAATTCTTTCAAAGGACACAGGATGAATATGGGGCTTATTGGGAAGAATGTTTCTTTTTTTTAATTGAAAACTGCACTAGAAAGAAAAAGGACAGGAAATGTGTACCTACAATGCTCTTTCTCTCTCTCTCTTATTTTTCCCTTCGAGGATAGCAAAGGGTCCTAGGAGAATTCCATTGGGAACCCTCCCCCATCCACCCTACCACCCTGATCCTGTCCTTTCAGACTTCTGGTCACTCCTAAAACTCCAAGAACACTAAAAAGGAACACGATATGAGAAGCCCTTGAGAATGCCAACGAAGAACACAGAATTCTTTGAGGGAAGGTTAGAGAGAAACACACCACCTTAAGAAGTGTATGGACGGAACTATAGGTGACCTCCAATCAGCTTCCCTACTTCACCTTCTGATGCAGGAATCAGGCCATACCCCAGGAAATTTCCTTTAAATTTCCTTTAAAATTCCTTTAAATTTCAAGGCTGTGGGAGGTGGTGTTCCACCTTAATCTTAAAACCGATTGGCTGCTCATTTACAGCAGATCTCATCATGGAGTTGATTACACTGTAATCCACTGTAATAAAGTGGAACGCCACCTGCCCGCTCAGGTCACAGCCTTCAAGCAATTTAAAGGAAATTTCCTGGGGCGTGGCCTGATTCCTGCGTCAGAAGGTGAAGTAGGGAAGCTGATTTGCATTTTTTTTGCTGAGTCAGGATCCTGCAACAGGCTCCTGGATCTGTTCTGCGGACTTGAGAGACTGTCACACTGCCTGTCGATTGTGGGAGCCAACCATGGCCTCCCGGTTGACCTGCTGCCCTTGGGTTCATCCACCTCGACAGCCTGTGGTGCCCCTGCCAATTCTGGGCTCGTCTGCCGTCAAGCTACACAAGTCAGGAGAAGCCTCCAGCTTAACATCTGACCCACAGATTTGAAACCAGTCTGGATTTACCTGCTTCTGCAACTGTGTGAACCATTTTCTTGAGATAAATCTCTTTCTATGTATATATAGCTATCTTGTCACCCTTACAGCTTGCCATTCTTGGCCCTTTGTTGTTCCATATCCATTTTAGCTTCAGATTTTATATTATACACATTCGCACAACTTAAGATTTTTATTTGAACTGTATCAATTCTGGATCCAGCAGACGAAGTTCAGATTCTGGCTCCCTCACCTGCTAACTGTGTCACCTTAGGCAGATGATTAAGTTCTCAATGTCTCGGTCACCTCATCTGTAAAATGGGAATAGTAATAGTACCTCGACTCCACAGAGTTGCTGTGAGCATTGCATGCGGTGCTTTCTAATTTGGTGCAGGATAACACCCTCGGCTGATCATTGAAAGGTTGGAGGGTCTAGTCTAGCCTATCCAGAGGCTCCTTGGCAGAAAGGTCTGGTGATTGGGTTCAGATAAAGCGATCATTGAAAACCATGTGGAGCCCAGTTCTATTCTAACAGGTGGGCTTGCCAGAATCAACTCCATAGCAACTGGTTTTGTGATATTCGGTTTGCTTACAGTTTTGGGGGGTTGCGGGGATTGGGGTTATTTTTGGTATATAGTATGTGTTTTAACACTTAGCCTTGGTTCAGATAAAGCGATCATTGAAAACCCTGTGGAGCCCAGTTCTATTCTAACAGGTGGGCTTGCCAGAATCAACTCCATAGCAACTGGTTTTGTGATATTCCGTTTGCTTACAGTTTTGGGGGGTTGGGGGGATTGGGGTTATTTTTGGTATATAGTATGTGTTTTAACACTTAGCCTTGGATAAAGTAAATACTACATAAATTTTAGCTATTATTAGAAAATCTTCCGACCAGTACATACATCGGTATTTTTCCAACCCCACTCCCTTATAGCCCCACCACCCCCTTGTTGTACCACAACTCACAGGTTGGTGATACGGAAATGGGGACTGTAGAGGACATGGGGATGACATGGAGCTACATTACCGTCTTTACAAAATCACTATTCTAGTAAGACCGGAGAATGCATTCCAAGTCAGGACTGCAAATATGGCTTTGGGCGTTAACTGAATCTGCACAACAAAATAGCGCCAATCAAGAAGTTGCTAACCTGGAGTCAGTGACCTACCTCTCTGAAATTAGATGCAAAACCTGATCTCTGGCTGTGTGAGTGTTCATTTCTCATGGCAGGAGACCCAGAGATTCGCAGAGATGTAAGACCTAGAAAAGTCTTAACTAAAAGTTAGCAAGAATTGCGTTCTCTAAGGGTTAAACCAACCAACCCCTGGGGGCATCCAGCACCCCCTGGGACAGTCCGTCAACATTCCAGTGTTCACTGAGCGTGGACCCAAGGGAATGTACATGCTTATCAACTCCCTGGAAAGAAGGAAAGTACACGCGGGAAACCAAAGCTCGGTCGGGGGAGGGGAGACAATGTTGTTTCCAGGTGGCACAACTGCGGAGGGTTCCGAGGGCGCCATCCGTGGGAACGAGCGCGGCGTGTGCGCGCGTCCGAGGGCTCGTGTGCGCGTGCCCGAAGCGAGGGGCGGGGCGCCGGAGGCGGCGGGGAGAGGGCTGGCTCACCTTGTTTGTCATCAGAAGGGGGTTGGGTGCCTTACGGTGAACTTCCGCCCCGACTGCCCCTCGATTGTCTAGCTCTTTCATCTACTGACGCTTTTCTATCGGTGGCTCTGATCCAGGAAGGCAAAACGGAAGCGCAGCAGGGGAGGGCCCAAGCCAACAGGCTCCTGAGGCAGCCGGGCGCCCGAGCCTCCGTCCTGCGGCCCCTTTAAGAGGAGAATCTCTTGGGACCGGCAGTCCCAACCGACCCCGGTTTTAACCGAAACCTAACCCGGACTTCCCCCTCTTGACTCAAATAAGGCCAACTTTGGATTTTCCCTCTCCCACTGACGAATCAGATTCTGTTACCAGGCAGACTTGCGCGGCTGCCGGGGCGAGCCTGGCGCCTTCTGTCTCCGGGTGGCTCCAGCGACCAATGAGAGAGCCGGTCGTCCGTGTAGCTAGGCAGATTGGGGCTGTGACGACCATTCAGAAAAAAAGAAAATAAAGCAACGCACGAGCCCGCTGGGCCAGGACCGTGGGGCTGGGCTGAGTGAAGGTGGCTACGAGGTAGTTCCTCTTTCTCCGTTACCTGGATTGTTGCTGGCGTGGGGAGGGGACTGCTCAGAGGTAGGGAGGGGGCGTCATTTTAGTTGGGAGGAGAGCAGGACAGGGTTTGGGCTGTATTTTCAACAGCTTCTTCGCCCATGTGCACGTGCCCCGAATCGGGGACCCCATTCTTTAACCAGGTTTCCTCCACCCAGCCCCTGAGTTCCGATTCCCTGACCCCTCCACTTCACTGTCACCGAGGATTGAAGGGAGGGGGAGGAGAGGGAGGAGGGGGCGCGCCTCGGGATGGGATGTTGAGGGAGATGACGTAGGGGCAGGAGACGTGAGGAGGGGGGGCCGCGGGGAACGCCGAGCGAGATGAAGAAGTGAGAACTTGGGCCCCCGTTTCTTCCACCCTGCCAGGACGGGAATTGCCCGTATCCTTTCTGACCTCCCAGGCAAATGGTGAGGAG